AAAAAAGGAAAATCGTACCCACCCACCCCAAAAAAACCCCCCCACCAAAACTTTTAAAATCACCATTATGATGTATTGAACTAAGAGCAAAAATTGGGGGTAGAAGGGGCAATTCTCTGAGGAATGAGGTTGGGATGCATATATATGCAGAGAAGTTTAACAAAGCCTCTTCTATCAATTTGGATAGCCGAACTTTTGCCCAAATCAGAAATAAAAGAATATAGCACTACAGATTTAATTTTAAGACAAGGAAATAAATACACACTCCTTGCAAATGCAAAATTTGTGTAATTTCTGTTAATGAGATTGCTAGTTTCAGGAGAATTATTTCAATTTGGCTTAAAAAAAACTATCTCAAAAGTCAATAATTTTATTGTGATTTGTTTTCATTATATAATCCTCCGAAAGAACTCTGTTCTTGGATGAATTATTTTTTTAACTCATTAATAAAAGGCTTCACTTTTGCATTGCTCTTTTTTTCCAACAGTGTTCTTCATACTACATTACCCCATTCAGCCCTGTCCATATCCCCCCACCCATGTCCCCTCTGGTTCTAGAGAAGGGAATCAGTGTTTCAGAGATTCTGAGATAGATATAGAACTGGCATTCAAAGCACCTTTCAGGTGGCAGCTGTTCCTTTAATATTAATGTACTCCTGACTACTTGCTTCTATTAGATTAGCTTACCTGTGATTGAAACTGAGACACAGGAGGACCTGGCAGGCCTTGTGACTGTTCATCCATTGCTTCAAATCACACTACTTCTGAATAACCTGTATTAAAACAGGATACAATGAAAACAGATTTTTACTTGCATTTTTATGAGACACTTTACAGGGTTAACATGAGCAAAGGATTATAATCTTAATACTGACAAAAGAGGAAGCTACATAAAAGTGAAGACAATGAGTCAATGTGTTTACATACAGGGAGAGCAGGTTCAGTCAGCCAAAGAAACATCAAGTGGTCTTTTGCATATAACCTTTAGCCCAAGCATGTATTTAAATATCTGTGCCCTTTTCTTTTCATTTTCTAAAAATAAAAAGCTTGAGCCCTGGTGGCTCACAATGTCATCCATGTAATCTTTTTGGAACTACAGAGACATCTGCAGGATCCAAGGGATTCATCAAAATGATTAAACCAACATTGTACTGTACATGCCATATTATAACATATATACACAAAAGGAATGGGGGTTGTGTCAAACAGAGCAACACTGCTTTCATCATTTGCCCCCTGCTACTCCACACCCCTCCCCAGTGGATAGCTCTGAATACAGACATCATTTATTGTTGCCTTTTCATGGGATATTTAATTTCCCAGTCTAGCCACAACCCTGGTATTCCTTATCGTTCCACATCAATGAATCAACAAGATGCGACCATGACTTTTCAACATCTGCCATAGTCACTTATATGACAATACTTAGCTGTTTCTTTAACCTGTACAAGAAATAAGTCCTAATCCAAATGTTAAAAATCAGTGAAATAAGTCACCATAGTAATTGATCATCTCCTCTAATTGCCTCATAATTTTCCTACAGAGTTCATTTTCAGTTTCACATTCAAGCAATCGCAGAAGCAGTTTAAAAGGATGAGAAGCAACCTGGAGTTTCAGAATACAAAGATACTGTGCTAAAAAAAAAAAAAAAAGACATGAAATATACCAACCTCCAGATATTGATGAGCTACAACTTCCAATAGCTTCAGCTAGCATGGCCAATGGAGAAGGATGCTGGGCGTAGTTAGTCAGCAACTTTTACAGAGTTACTGGCTTCACAACTCATAAGAGAATTCATGAAAGCTTTCATACCACTTGAGCATCTTTCAACTTCAAAAATGCCAATATATCCTGCACAGAGTTCCTGTGAAAAATAGTTTAGATTTTCCTCATACCTTCCAGAATAGATGCTTGGATTTAAAGCATAGCAGGGGAAGAAGGACTGGCAATCATCATCATTGCCTAGCAGCATTCCACTGGCAAGAGCATCCCATGAATTATTTATTGATTTTATTTATATAGCCACCCATCTCACAGCAGTGACTCTGGATGCCACATAAAGGATTAAAACCAAAAAAATAAACCATGTATAAAAAATAAACATCCAAAACCTACTAATTTAAAATAGTAGTTATAATATAGCATATGCCTGGTGTCTAAAAATCATTCCATTTCAATTGATAAAGACCAGAACAGACAAATTCACTAACAGTGATGACTTAACTTCCCAGCGCAAATGCCTGAGGGGACATCCTGGTCTTTAATGCCTTATGAAAAGCCAAGAGGTCAAGACCATTCAGCTCTCAGGAGGAACATTGTTCCATAGGAAACGAACTTCTCGAAGGAACTGAGGGCCAAGCAAAAAATCTGTAAATGTAATCTATAATCCATTTAATCACAAAAAATCCTACTGAAATAGGGAAAAAAATGTTCCAGAGGACATTTTTACTGCCAGTGAATGCCTGTAAACAGATTAGAAATAAGAGTTCAATTATACTCTTTCTCATTCATAAATAAATAAATGGGATCCTCTCAAAGGTGAGCAGACACACAATTTTGCTTAACAAACTTTCTCAGGTAAATCCGCTGTAAATGTGTAACTCTCTCATGCAAATCCCAGCAGAGCAAGTAGGTACTGCCAATGATGTACTTCTAATTAAGGGTATATAGGATTGTAGATCTGCATGCATTTTTTCTGAGACATGTGACTATAAAACAATAAAAGGTTAAGTGTACATACAGATTTGCCCAGAATTAAATCATATGGATGGGTTCCCAGAGAAACAGGATTTCTTCAGTTTCTCCCACTTCCAGAGCCCCAAAGGCAATAAACATTTAGATCAGCTTGACAGTTGGTCCAAATATATTTCTTCCCATTGGAAGCAATGAGAGGAAATGTTTTTCCCAAATCAAAAAAAGGCAGTGACAATGTTTTTATCCTGCCAGTCTTGTTACCAAATGGGCATCTGAAGCTTTTGGAGCAAGATGTGAGAGTTCTGTTCAAGCAATAAGAATATTCTCCCAGTAGCAATATGAAATGACTATTTTTAAAAGGCACTGCATATCCCCACAAAGATTACTCCTTATTATCCATTTGTTCAGGAAGAAACTATGATTGAAAGTCAGCATCAAGTTAAATGAAAAAAATGAGTACATTTTGTTAATTATAATTTTTCCCAATAGTATTGCCTCAGGTCATGTAGATCTGAAATAGCATTAAATGTGAAAACACTATGGTGGATATGAAAAAAATTGTTTCAAAGAACAATAACAAAAATACATTTCTACAGCTCCTTATTAAAGGCAAGCCAGAAACGCAAATATATTTAACCTAGAAACACTGAAAAACTCTGTCCAACAGAGAAATACCACGTAACAGCCTTACTGCATTTTTAAAATTGAAAACTCCTTTCTAACGTTTTTAAGGTGCTGTAAATAATGTAAGTTAAGCTACAGTACAAATAATCATTCCTACACGTTTTTAGGCAACATCTCTACTTTCACCTTTTAATTCTTAAACCAGCTGTTTTTCTACAGCTGGCCTGTATAGCTAGACCTTAAGCCTTTACACTGTGCTTGAAATATGACAGGAAAACTGTTCCACAGCAGTTATTTCCCTCTGCTTTTAATCTCAAAATAATTGTCACTGTGGCAAGCAGCAAGCATCTTAACAGCCTGTATGTTTAAGACCTTTGTGAGTGTTTGCACTCTTCTGGACAGAGAGCTCTGTTGTTGTTCCTGGGATTTGTTGGAGCCACTCTCCTAGCTTAGGAGTCACGGCCTCGAGTGCTCCTATCACCACTGGGCTACTTTGGC